CATTTATACTTATATGTAGTTCTCAACTTATACTATACTTCACTGACTTTAATTTGATTTACTCAAATCAAAACAACGCAATTTAGAGTTCAAATTTACTGTGAAATGTCTTTGTCAATACTGGGAACTTAAAACTGAGTGTTAAACTGAGTAGCATTGATAACAATTTTCATATGCTTCTTCAAATTCCCAGGATACTTTGTAGATGTCAAATATTCTTAAGTGCTTTACATAATTATTATCCCTTGAAATTATTTCCTAAGGTTAATGTTGGTTACTAAGTTAACTGTGACCATTTACAAGATTTATATAACCCATCCCCACTGGATTCTTCTGAATCTTCCTATATTAGACTTTTGTGCTTTTTTCCTCTATAGTAGACAAGAGTAACTTTTTACCTTTGTATATTCCAACTCTGAATTTGATTTTCTCTCTTTACTACTCAAACTGAAATACACAGTGAGCCCTAACTTGCCACCAGTAATACTTTATACTTAAGGCCTTCAAGAGAACCAAACTGGTACAGTGCCTGCTGGGAACTGTCAGGCCACTGAAAATGCCAATACACCTGAATAGAAAAAAAGGAGCAAAAGAATTACCCTAGGTACATCTTTTCCTCTGAACTTACTTAGAATTACTACTCAGAAGATCTGATTTAAAACAAAACAACAACAACAAAAAGCTGGTAGCTACTGCTACCAACTATAGTAGTTTGGCAGCAGAATTAAAACAGTTTGTTCTCTGAATAAAATGAAGACCAAAGTCCAGATATCATCTTCATTAGAAAATGGAGATTTTTACATCTTGATTAAGTAATGAGAAGTACTAGAGAGGCTCCTATGGAATAAACAAGTGAGTAGTCAGAATTATTCAATCAAAAAGTACTCATTAATCTGTGATAGATACAAAATTATAAAAAATTACCAATAATACCGAATACAGCATAACTCCTGGAACTGTGTATGAAGTGAGAAAACAAGTAAGATTTAACTAAAGAATTCGAGCAAGCTAAAACAACTGAAGAGGAATTAAAGAAAACGAAGGTTAACACTGATTAGTAAAAGATTTTTAAATATCACTTAATCTGGAAAAACAAAACTGGTAAATATGGCAGGGATAATGGTCAACATTATCAACCCCAATCTTTCCGATCAGAGATGACTGGAGAGGACTAGATTCAGGCTGTATTTTTCTGATTTCCTAATCTATTTATCAGATTATACATATTAATCTCCACTTAGAGAGACTGAACATAGTTTTTACATAATATACTACATGCAAGTCAACAGAACTACAAAACAAAACTTATTACTTGTAAACTTTTAAAATTGTTCTACTTTAATACAGCTACATACTAAATGGCACCAGAACTTCATGTAAAAATTCCTGAGACATATTTATATATTACATATAACTTTAAATGAAACCCCAATTAAAATATTTAGAAAAACAATTAATTTGCTTAATGATTCTCCTCCTCTACAAAACCAATCACCAGAGTCCCATTAACATTAAGGCATATTTCCAATTAGTGAGATATGTATGTTTTTACATAATTTCTGTTGGTGCTTATAAGGTTTAGCTTTACTATACAATTCTCTTACCTGCCCTTCTATATCTAAGTGGCACCAAGTTCTGATTAAAATCTTTTCTTTTGAATTATACTTGAATTCCCATTAGAACCAGTTTAATTCGGTCCTTATCATATTTCACATGGACTTCTATGAACACCTACCTATCTGATCTCTCTTGCTTTCCATTCCCACAATCCTCAACCCTCCCCCCCCCCTTCGCTCACATCCTAAAAGTTAAATCTGATCTCTGGTTCCCTACTTTAATACAGTAATTCCTTATCTGTATCTTCCTCTTACACAGTTTTGAAATGCACCCCTATATTTTAAAAGAACATATAAATGCTGTACTAAAACTACTTGGGGATTTTCATTGTTGCTGCAGGGTTTTTTCAAGTTACTGTTTTTGCAAGAGATGGAATTTGAACTCAGGGGCGTCATGCTTGAAAAATAGGTACTCTGTCACTTGAGTCATGACCCTAGTCCTTTTCTGCTTTAATTTTGTTTTAAATAGGGTCTCACTATTTGCTCCATGACAGCTTAAAACCTCAATACTGATATCTATGCTTTCTATGTAGCTGAGAATACAGATATGCACCCTTAAATCTTGTTAGAAGGGATAGGGTCTTAACTTTTTGCACAGGTTAGCCCTGAAACACAATCCTCCCAATCTTTATTTCCTAAGTACCTGTTCCACAGAAAACTATTAGTTCTCCAAACTTTTCAAACTGCTTCACATCTCTTGTGTAAGTCTGAAATATTCAAATATTGCCCATGTTACCCATCCCCTCTCCTACAACCTTTTCCTTTGATTCTCCAAACCTTTTAAAAACTTTACATATATTTATATTCGGTCTTCCTACCCATACAACCATTCCATAAAATAGGATCCCTATTTTACAGATTGAGAAATCAAACCCAGCAGTGGAAGGTAAGAGACCTGTCCTAAGTGACCTTTAGTTTGAATCCACAATTACTGATGACAAAAGCTATGGTGTTTACCACAGTGACTTAACAGCCTCTTACATATCACTCTGAAGTATTGACTTACTCATCAGTTTACACATTTCTTTCCCTCTTTAGACATACTATGCTCCCTGAGGGCAGGTATCAACCCTGGGTTTGACATCAACATTTAGTTTCTTAATACATGTTTGTTCACTAAAAGAGAGTAATAAGCCCCTGAACAGCTGGTACCATGACTATTTATTTCAGTTCTTGACTTCTTAGAGCTCTGACTGTACTCCCTACCAAACATATTTATCTGTAAAATTACAGCTGGACTTATGAGACAACATGAGACAACGAATTTCAGTTTAAGCTACAAAAAAAGCTGCATAGTTGTGCGTTTTTTTTTAAATACTATTCCTACATTACAATCTATCAAACTGAGGACTTCAAATTTTCAGGGTAATTTTCACAACAGTTTCATCCCACAAGAGCAGGCAACCATAGCAGTGAGGTTTTAAATAGCTGAAATTCAAAAGGTAAAGTTGATTAATAATAGATGACATAAAGAAACCGAGCACTGAATACACAAGGCCCGTTTGGCAATCCACTGAGGCTAACTGGTGAGCAATGCTATCTTTGTCATAATGTTCTCTCATCTTGTCATTTCCGAAACATTGGTAAAATATCAATCCATACACTAGTGTATAAATGCTATGCCCTTCTTTCATTAAAGTGCATCTGTCGGCGAGGTAAAACAGTAAGCTACTTCCTTTCATTTAAATCACATACCAAATATAACTGTCAGCAAAACTGACTTTTTTTTTTTCCATTTGCAGATAGCTAGCACTCAAACCACCGGATATATTTTAAAATATGCTTTAAAAATATACTTTCATTTTATAGGTTTCTGGTAAAAGTGAAATGGTTATTCCTTTAACACCTTTTTCCGAAATAACTCAGTAAGCGGAAAAAAAAACTTTTCTAAACAACCTGATGTTGTGGAAAATACAGACATACAGGCACAGTACTGGTTTTCTACTTCAGGAGTGATGGTTTTCTAGTTCCAGTCACATTATTAAACTGCTGTTTAACTTGGGACTCAATAGCTATTTTCTCTTTCTCTTTTTAAAAACTGTATATGTGGGGAATGGACTTGATTTTCTTTAAAGTTGTCTTGCAAATTCTGATGTTTGAGTCTTCTAACCAAGTTCTAGACTTCAATTCAAATTCTAAGTAACAAACACGTCGTGAATTGAATGAATGATTCCATATGTAGGGGACAACACAAAATGCAAACAGAAGACTCATATACAGCTAACAGGTTGGTAACTTTCCAGAAATTGTCTAATCTTAACTTCTTAAACAAGGAGGCGTAGTCTTGCTTGACATAGGTAAGATTACTAAGGAAATTTATAAAATGGCACTGCTGCTCAAACTTCTCTGGATATTTCCTGGGTTCCAGTGGTGCATAACGTGCAGGTGCAAGCAAATAGAGGGAGCCAGTCACAATTCCAACAAGCCACATTTCAACCCAGTCACCTCAGTGGGACCTCCTCAAGGCCTACAACACGAACAAAACTTCCCCACCCCCAGAAGCGCCTGCAGCCAATGTAATGAATGCTTCCTTAAACAACACCCATTCCCTTCCCACAGCAGAACGGCTTGCTCCCAACCTGCCATCTGGGGTTGGAACTGGCCGCCCAGAACTAACCTAAGACTCTTTCTTGGTCCCGCAAAGGGCAAGAATAACTAGAGACTGAGGTTTCCCTGCCTAGGGCTGGGGGCTGGGGGAGAATCTGCACCCCTCCTCCCACAAATGCAAAAAGAAAAAAAAGCGCGACCGGGCCTAGGTGTGTTTGCTGGAGAAACAAACTGTTTCTCTGCACTGGGGAGGGACAGAAGCGATCCCTTCCTGCCATCGCACTCTGGAGTGTCCAATAACGTGCAGTCGGTTTCATCCTCTCTTGGAAATACTAAAAAGGAGATTAAATGAACGATGCACTTTCCCCTAGTTCTATTCGCTCTTTCAACCTCTGGCATTGTTAAGGAAGCTACCCCGACCGAGCAGAAAGAGGTGACGCTAGGGCGAGTGCGAGGGTCCGGTTCTGCGATCAAGCAGCTTGTGCAAGAGAACGAACACACGAAAGATGAAACCCTTGTGGTGTAAAAGTTTGGACCGGCGGCGCAGACGCAGACCCGGGGCCGTCCAAGCCAGGCTCCAAAAGGCAGGCCGGCGGAGGTGACACTCCCTTGTTCTCCAGCCGCTCGGGAGGCGGCGTCCGGCCGGCGCGCACCCAGGAGCCGGGCAGCGCGGCGGGCCGGGGCCCGGACCCGGGCCGGCAGGAGGCCGGGGCGTCCGGGAGGACCCCTCCTCCCCCGCCCCCTTCCTCCCTCCCACTCTGCACCCGGGTCCGGGCCCGCCCGCGAGGGCACGTCGGGGGGTGGGGGGGGGCGGTGGAGGGGGTCTCGGCCACTGACCACACATTTCTTGCCGAGGAAGGAGAAGAGGGACTCGTTCTCCTGCGGGGTGAGCAGCAGGGACCCCACGTTGGTGACCCTCCGCGGGGGAGGCGGCTGCTGGCCGGAGCTCATGGTGTCGCCGACGGGGCTGGGCGTGCGGGGCCGCGTCCGAGGGCGGCGGGTGGGCGGGCGGGCGGCGGTCTCCCCCTCGCGGTGACAGGGGCGGGGAGCGGGGGCTCAGCGGCGCATCGCCGCGCAGCTCCTCCGAGGCGGGCGGAGGCGGCGGCGGCGGGCGCGGGCTGCGGGGCGGACGGCAGGCCGCGCTGCCACCCGGCGAGGCGCAGGCCGGATGCTCCCGGTTCCGCGGCACTCTCGGCGACTGCGCTAAACTCTCAACCCCTCCTTCGGTACTCCGGCGGCGGCGGCGGCGGCAGCCGCACTATCCAACATGGCAGCGGGGGCGGACGAAACCACGAGACGCAGGACCGCAGGGGAGTGAGGGAGCGCGCCGGAAACGCCCGAGAGGAATTCACGCCTCCCACCCCCTCCGCTCGCGGCGACCTGAGCGCGCCCGCCGGAGGCCACGCCCACTTCCGGCAGAGGCGCGGTCTGAGCACGTCACGTCGTGGCCTTGTCTCCGGCTACTACCTGAGTGAGGCCTGGTCGCCGCGCGTCGTCGGCCGGTGGTGGCCGCGCGTGGCGCCTACGGCGGCGGGACAGACTGGAGGTTGGTCTCGGCGGGCCGGTGCGCCTCCTTTCTGTGGGCGTACACCTTGGCGGGGCCTCCCCGCCCTCAGTGTCCCTTAATTTCTCTGGCCTGGTTGTGTGATGTTCGAGCCTCTTGTCAGAAAGTTCTGGAATCGAGAGGACACGTGAGGCGGGTAGTTGGCTCCCCTGGTTTCCGCCTGGGCCACTGGCGCCTGGACGTTCTCAGACGCAGGACACGTTTGGGGGCATTGCAGGAGATGAAGAGCTGGACCCAACAGGTTGCTCCAAGAGCCTGGTGGATGGCACAGAAAACAGTAAAAACTCGCTTAGAAAAGACACGTCACCTGCCACAAGTGTGGTCCACATCCAAGCCACAGGACAGTGATCCAGAGGCCCTTTTTCTTCTCCTAGATTGGAAAATTATCTCTCCCCTCTCCCCCTCCCTCCAATTTGTCTCTAATCCTCAGGTCTTTAAGAAGCAAATCCCTCAAGATTATTTTTTAATGCGTATTTTAGAATATTAAAAGTTAACCTCAGATATACCTCCTTTGCTGAGTATATACTGAACTGTTGTAAAATTGGAGAATATGAGAGTGATAGATTTCAATGAATTGCAAAATAAACATCTGAACTTTATTACCACCGTGCTTGCTTAATTTCATCAAACAAAAGTTTTGTGTTAAATTTATGACATATTTTGTGATAAAATTTGGTAAAGGCGTTTTGTGTTAAAAGCGTCTCTGATAGCGCCCAATAGAAATCTCTGATGAACTAAGTAGACTAATAACACCATTAACCATGCACTTCGAAATTCATCCAAAATGTAAAATTAAAGTCACCCTTAATGAAATTGAGTAAGCAGGAATAAATCAACAGAGGAAAACGAAAGAATAGTCATCGGTCTTCACATAGAACATGGGGATTTCAAAATTAAACTTCATTGAAAAAAAGGGAGTTTTACAAAGCAACACAACTCTGAAATACATAGATTTAGAAACAGGAGGGAAGTAGAGTTGGGGTGTTGGAATTAAAGAGCTAACAAAGCTGGAAGACTTCTTAAACACAAAGCTCTTAGGGGCTGGGGCGGTAGAATGCTTGTCTAACATTTTTGAAGCCCTCAGTACTACATAAACAGAAAAGGCCACAAGTGGTGCTGTGGCTCAAATGGTAGAGTGCTAGCCTTGAACAAGAGAAGCTCAGGGACAATGCCCAGGCCCTGAGTTCAAGCCCCAGGACTAGCAAAAAATAAGAATAATACAGCTCTTAGACGTTGAAAGCACAGTGACAAAAGCATTAAAATTCTTGAAAATGAATTGAAATTACAGCCCTTTTATTTTCAAACCTGTGGACAACTACCATAACAAAATATAGGCTTCCAATAGACCAAAATTAAAGTTCCTGCAAGGCGTCTTAAAACCTTATGAATCATGGACAAGATGCCTCTCTGTTTCCTCCTATGTAAAGCTAGAAAGAATTTGTTTCACAAAACTGCAGTGTAAATGGGTATAATTATACCTACCTTGAAGTTAAAAAATAAACCAGGCATATAAAGTAGTTGATAACATAATTTTTACATGAATTTTGTCACTTATCCTTTTTGCTTGTTTTAAAGGCAGGTTTTTAAAAAACTGTCCTTTAACTTCATAACCACACATAATTCTCCAAATACATGTTGATGTGGTTGGAGCATAGTCTCTTGCCTGGCAGAATTTCTGACTAGAATATATATTATGTTGAGCAGGCAGCATTTATTCAGTATGCCAAAATAACAAACTTTTAATACTATAAATTTAGAGTTGGAATCCACTTTAAGAAAAATGACAGAGATGGAGGCATAACTTAGTGCATTTAGTATGTTTCAGGCCCTAAATTCAATCTCCACTCCCTCTAAAAAATGATACGTAGCGTTTTTTGTGCTAGAAATGCCAGCCACCTCTAAGAACTTGTAGACCATCCATTTTGAAAATTAAATAAGCGAGATGAGAGCTATGGGGAAAAGAACCTCTATGGGATGATAGTATTGTTGATGAATAATGCTGTACTGAGAACTAATGAGTTTTAATCATTTTACAACCTTTTATTAGCCTAGGCTTTTAGTGCTGCAATTTCTTTTTTTCCCCTTGACATTCTAAACTTACTAGAATGCATTTTTTTAATTCAACCTTGTTCTATTTCCTATGAACTTGAAGATTGAAAATTTTTACCATCACAGGTTTTATCTCCTGAGGCCCAAACTATTTTAGTTTTTCCTCTAAAATTTAAATGTATTACTTTATCTACAAAATTGCAATTTAAGTTATTTTGTTTTTTCTAGACTTTTTACCAATTCCTTTTTATTTTTTTAAATTTTATTTTATTTTATTTGAGAACATACTGTACAGAGGGGTTACAATTACATGGGCAGGATAATGCATAAATTTCTTACCAAGCATTGCAGCCTCCTCCTTTGTTTACCCTTCACCTCCCTTCCCAGCCTCCCCCCTCCCCCCCACCCAATCCTTCCCCCCCTCCCCCCCCCCCACACCGACATTGTAAAGCTTGTTTTTGACATGACATTTTGTACTTCTCATTGTTGCAACAGGTCCACCTGAATCCTTAAACGACTTGTTTGTCCCCATCTCCTCCACAAGTTATACTGACATCAAATATAGTGAAAGCGGGGGTTACACTGTGGGGGAGGGACATACAAAGCAACAAAGAAATAATCTTATAAATGCGTTAGAAACACATGCATGAAAGAAAAAAAACATTAAAATACATATTTAAGGGTTCGTTTTCCTAACATCACATTATCTGACCTTTTCCGCTTGACTCATACCTATACTAGATATTGCAAATAAGGGAAACCATGGGACCTATGTTTCTTTGGGCCTGGCTTACTTCACTTAATATAATTTTTTCCAAGCTTTTCCATTTCCTAACAAATGGGGCAATGTCATTCTTTCTGATGGAGGCATAGAATTCCATTGTGTATATATACCACATTTTCTTGATCCATTCATCTACTGAGGGGCATTTGGGTTGGTTCCATATCATAGCTATGGTAAATAAGGCTACAATAAACATAGTTGTGCTGGTAGCTTTAGTGTGGTCTTGTTTGTAAACATTTGGGTAATTGCCCAAAAGTGGGATTGCTGGGTCATAGGGGAGTTTTATGTGAAGTCTTTTCAGGAACCTCCATACTGCTTTCCAAAGTGGTTGAACAAGTTTACATTCCCACCAACAATGAAGTAAGGTTCCTTTCTGTCCACATCCCCTCCAGCATCTGTTGTTGTTAGAGTTCTTGATTTTTGCCGTTCTAACTGGAGTGAGGTGACCAATTCCTTTTTAAAGTGTGGAAAACTGGAAATTCAAATTCCTTACGGCTTTGAACATGTGACAGGCAATATTTGGGGTAATTGATCAAGGTTACTGTTTTTCCACATTCACCTATATATAGGAAGTATTGGACATTTTAGTTTCAATATTTTAGCGAGTCTTTTCTATCTTTTACTCTTGATAGAATAATTTCTTTTCATTAGAAAACAAGGTATCTTTCACTATGTTTTCTTTGGCAAGCTGTTTTTTTTTTTTTTTTTTATCTCATTCTTTTTGCCCAGTCTGAGAGATTGAATTTGATCCAGAAAACACTATTCTATTTTCTTTCAACCTGATATCTTAAACTTTGTAAGTTAGGCTAGGAAGACTAGAAATTTTTATCTTCATATATACATATAAAGTACAAATGCTAGCTAAAAATGTGCATGAATACAGCTAAGAAAAAGATATTTCTTGGAGTAAGTTTTTCATTTGGCTTTCCTTGCTGAAACTAGAATTTATTCTCCATCCTCATTTTCTTTCTATCTTTGCTATGTTCTTTAAGGTGAGATCCTAGGTTTTGACAGAAAACATTGGGGTAGTATATTTATAGATGTGAGAACATATTTTCTGATCTTCTGCTGTTATCACTACCCTTTTTTGTATTTTTTTCAAATGTCATTGTTTATGTACTGTTGAAAGTCCTCTAGAACATGCGATTCTCCTGGCTAATATTAATAAAATTGAAATGGAATGACACCCTTCACTGTAAGGGAACGGGCAAGTAGCAGCACACAGGGATCCATGCCATTCAGCAGCTATTGTGGCCATTATTACTGGTACTGACATGTTGCCTGGTTATGGATATAGAGGCAAGAACAACGTCAAATTTTCCACAGCAGGGAAGATAAATGCTACATCTTTCATGCAACTGCCAAGTGTCATGGATTTAAAATGTTTACATTGTAAAATGTCTCCACACTTTGCTATAAATCTTACATACAATAGTGCTTAAGAATCTGTCTCCCAACTTAAATGTTGGAGGGTTTATTTTTCATCAGAATTCTTGGAAAGGAAGCTAAAGAGTAAATTTTCTTTTCCTTTGAAATTCATCTTAAGAGCAATACCTCTTTGTGACTTACTTTTAAAAGGATAGCTTACAACCCATACAGATACTGATATTAAGAGAAAATTGAGTTATTTTACTAG